TTTACTATTGAAATAAAATATTATCCAAAAAAACTAATATGTTTTAAAAATCTCCTTCGATAATAAAACAACTGGAAAATGTTCCCAAGGCCTATAGTCTGTGAGATTTGTGATTGCTATGTTGCAACTTCATTCCTATGTCTCTAGCCAATTGTTTGTGATACAGGTTAAGTTTGGGAATAGTTATCCATGTGAAAATATATTGCAACTCCACAGAAGAAAATAAAAACCATCCTGGTGAAATTACTCTGTTTGGTTAGCTAATTTTTCCTACCTCTCTCCCCCTCCTCTGCCAAAACCAAAGGAAAAACATTATTATTTGCTCATTCTATGTATCAAGATAGTTTTTTGTCATTATTCTTGGATTATATCGGAGGAGCCAGATTTCTTGAAGAAATTTAAGAAAAGTGTTAAAACTATCTAAAGTAGACATAATATTTTCTCATAGAAGTTTGGCTGAACATATATTCTGATTAATTCATAATGGTACTCACTCTTTGGCATAATTTTCTTTAGCATTCTGCTACTAGTATTGCTTCAAATTATAAGTATTGGGTATATCATACTTATAGGCATTTCAAAAGCAAATAATTTTGACACGTGTTTCTTCCACACAGTCATATTTTATTAAAATAAAATACTTATTATATAGTGATGTATTCAAATATTACATGTTATGAGTAAAAAAAAGAACTCAAAAAATTTTTTTTCATTTCTTTTTTTTTTTGTCCAGATAAATAGACAGGTTTATCAGAGTTCTGAAAAGCAAAAGTTTCATTCATAAAAGCCATCTCCAATTTTCAGGCCAAAGTGGTATTTTTAATAGGTGTTTGTGCCAAGGCAGCCATTTTGAAGAAGACACACACACACACACACACACACACACACACACACATACATGCAGATACACACAAACACACAGAGAGAGAGAGAAAGGGGGTGGGGTAATTGTATAGGTGGGTTCCACTTACTACTAACTTAGTTTGACGAATGATATCATGTTGGCACAGGCATGTTTAACTTTTAGGATTAATTCTACTTTCTCTGAATGCATCTATCTAGAATGAAGACAAGCGTTTCCTTTGTACAAGAATTGTTTTGACAGACAGCCACAGAAGATAGAGAAATCTATCAGTATGTTTGATTGGTACTTTTTACCACACAGAATTCCTATAACCAGGAAAATATTGAAGGAAAAGGCAGGGGAGTCGTTCATTTCATATTAAGATATAAAAATTAATGGCAGAAACATTAAAAAAAACTGGATCATATTAATATATAGAATGAAGAGAAGATATAAAGATCCCTCAACATTATAATCCTTATAGAAGACTAAATCATACTCAGTTCAGGTGACTTTAAATGGAGCTGATTTTTATGGTATGCCCTAGGCTGAGAAAAGAAATTGACAAGGTAACTGGCAAGAAACTAATGTCCTGGATCCAATAGATTTGCAAACTAAATATCTCAGCATATCTCCACCCTGAATGACAAGTAGCATTTAGAAAGTATCATCTAATTCTGAAGAATACCCTATTAACCATATCACTCATCTACCATCCTTTCTAAGAAAATTTACATTCACTTACATTTTTTAAAAAATGACTTCCATATTTGTAATTGTAGCATAGTTAACATTTAAGTTATCTGCAATATTCTCACGTCTCTCTCCATTCTTAGAGGTCTAATTATAATCAGATTCACACTGGTGACACTTTTCCTTAAATTATTTTTATACTGTAAATATTTTCATATATTTATAATAACATGAGAGAAAAATATTTTAAGAAATTATTTTGTTTAAAGATACTTATTCTTGTCATGAAATACTGATTCAGAATCTGATGTATGGCGGAATCCATTCATCCACCCATCCATCCATCCATCCATCCATCCATCCATCCATCCTTCCGTCCTTTTCCTAAATTTATCTTCAGCTTTCTTTGAACTTCTTTTTTTTTCCTAATTCTGTTTTCTATGATTCACATTCTTTCTTATTTTTTAGTGCATTTAAATTTTTCTTTACTTTTCCATTGTTTCTTCTCCCTCTTACTCAGTTTAAATTTGAGCTTGAGAAGAGAGAAAAAGAGAACAAACTCAAAGATTAGCAACTTCTTCAAAACAAAACTTTATGTTATTTATGGCATATAAAGAGACATAAATTGCAGTTTTCTTTTCAGAAAAGTTGACACTTTAAGATACACTTCCCTTTAAGTTCTAATCCTTATCAAGCACTACTTTGATAATGATATGACAAATTATTTGATTCTAAGTGAATCTGATTTATCTTCTACTTTTGGCTGTTAAAAGTTACAAAGATGTTTCCTTTTTATGATGTGATGGAATTTAATAAGAACTGACATATACATTAGTTTAGCTCTGTATAAAATCAATATAAACTAAGAAAATAAACAATAAGGAATTAAAAGACAAGTTCATGCATACAATTTGAACACAAACATACAGGTTGGTTTCAAGTCTTTTTCTATTTAATATAATGTTTAAGCTTATACTTACAAATATATAAAGGGAACAACACAGCTACAAAGTAATGCAGACATTTCTGATACAGTCCATACAGTTTGGGAAACTACATATTACCCAATAAGTACACGTAGAACCTAAAAGTGAATTCTCAATTTTTGTCAAGCAGTTAGCTGTTGCACTACAAAAGGCACCTGTGTAATTTACATGCCTGTACTACTGTTCAAGGACGATTGACATAAGCCTATGCAGAAAGTTACATCTCATTAACCTATTTCTTGCATTTATATTCCCATATATTCTGTTTCAGTATATCAGTGAAGGAAGTTTGTCATAATGCAGTAACATTTTCTTTTTTAACTTTCAGTAAGATTTCTCTCTCTTTTTTTTAAATTCCCTTTTCCCAATGTGGCCCATCCTTTTCACTTTTGATAACTGCGAGGATTTTAGCTCTTTCCTAACAGTTTTGAAAGTTGTGTTAAATATATAATGATGGCAAAGAGCTGGTCTACAATTATTTTTACTTGTGCTATCTGATACAGTAATTCATGTGGACATGTGATACAACACAACACTTTCATTTTTTAGAAAAAAAAAAAAAAAACTAGCAATCATTTACCATATGCTCTGCTTTTATCTTAGATGTTCCTCTCCCTCATGAAGCTAAATTGGCACCAAATATAATTCTCTTAGTTATTTAATGTCCTATCTCAGAAGAAAGTTGGGGGGTCTGTATCTTTTATGTTATATATTAAATTATCTTCAGATATTTATTCAAATCATGATGGCAATAGGTTCTATCCCCATAAACATATATAAAAGTATTGAGAACTCAGCTCTAGGTGAAGTCAAATTTATGGAGAATGGAGACTCAATCAGAAAGAGCCCAATAGCAGTAGTCTGCCAGTACCATTATATCATGCTAGCACACTGGGCTGAAAAGCTCCATTCTGTTCATCTGCTCTGGTCCAACTTCAAACATTTTTCCTAAGAAAGGTTGAGAGCTGATTGTTCCAGATCAAAGACATCATCATTTCAAGGAGAGCTGTGTGCCTCCATTTCATCAGTATAGTTTCTAAACATTCCACATCAACTTCAAGGCAAGTTGAACAAGTTCAGAAGCTCTAGTTAGGTGGCAATGATGTATTTAAAAGATTATCACCAGTAAATGTCAGATTTCCTAAAGAAATTCAGTTTAGTCCGACCGCTGATAGAGGAAATGACATGTGTGGGTATGCTATAAAAGCTAGAATCTGGTTGCCAACAGCAGGTTGAATAGAAACACTACAATTCATTCCCGTGTTGTTTCTTATAATGAAGGAATAATTTTTTGTCAATTCATAATCTTCCTAATATAAGTACAATCACTACATCTCCCAATAAAACAATCTCCCTGTTTGTTTGACATTGGGGTCTGGGTTTTTCCTCTCTCTCTCTCTCTCTCTCTCTCTCTCTCTCTCTCTCTCTCTCTCTCTCTCTCTCTCCTATTTAAACTAAAAAGCTGAACTATACCAGTCAATATAAACTCATTTTCTCATTAAAAAAAAAAAAAAAGGATCTATGATACTTCTGATTTTACTTTAAGCAGTTAACCATTCCAAGGCCAGGGCCAGTGCCCCAAATATTCATCGAGTATTTTCCTCCTTTTTTTCACCAGTGTTATCTGTTGTCAAAGACTATGAAACTTGCACAGGAATTCCAGATTTTCCAGATGAAAAGTTTATAGAATCCCCGCTTCTTCTAATTCCCACCTCCTCTCTGCTCTCCACGTCCATTCCCCTCTAAACTTGTACCAGTCATCAGCTACTTGGAGAAAAAGCAAAAGCAAAGCGCCACTGGAGCGAGGCACTCCAGACTGGAGGTTAGCCCCTCAGGGTTCCTGTGCCGCGACACAGCCCCTCAGAATGGAAAAGTCAAGTTCAAGCAGGTGCGTGCGCCCGGAAGCGCCCTAAAAGCCTCACCGCTGATGACAGGACTCTCTCCCCAGTCTGACCCCAGAAAAGGGCTACGGAAACGAAAGAGCTTGAATCGGCGCTTTCGCCTCTCCACAGACCCCGAATGCAGCAGGTAAGGAAGTTAACCTGGGAGCTAAGTTGAGGGCGGACACGCTTAACGCGGAGAACCTGGAGCTCGCAAAAGCTCGCGGTTGAGCGCCATCGCGGAGGGAAGCCTCTCTTTCTGAAATGCGAATTCTCATCCCAACATCTGCAGCGCTTAGGATGCGCGGGCAGAAGCGCACAGCCAAGTCCAAACGCTCCCGAAGAGGACAAAATCGGGACCGGGAAACGGCCCAAAGGAAAAGCCTGGGGGTGCCGAGAACTCTGGCACTTGGTTCAGAAACCCCGCACCGCACCTCTCACTCCCCACGGGGCCAACGCAAGGCGGCCACCCGGTCCCGGGGAGCGGGGCTGCAAGGACTTAAGTTTCACCCTCACTTATCTGCAAGCATCGCCCAGCAGGAAAGCCGAGAAAGCCAGAGGAGGGCTGGGGGGGGCGGGGGGAGGTGTTCTCCTTACCTCGGTCGGCTCCCACTGTCAGCACCCTGGCGATCGGCAGTAATCCCGAGAGAGTGAGTAAGGCGAGGAGGAGCTCGGACATTGTGGTCGCCCGGTAAGGAAGCCTGCGCTGGAGACTGCTCCGCGGCACCCTCGGCCCGGCGGCGGCGGCTTGGAGCCCCGAATCGAGCGGCGTCATTTACAAATGTCACTGGAAATTCTTCAGCTCAATGAGTCCAGCCAGTCCGCCTTCTCCTGCCTGGAGCAGGATGTGGAAGGTGCAGGGATGCGCGCGTGCGGGAGAGAGGAGGGAGAGCGTGTGTGAGCGCGAGCGAGCCGCCCGTGTGTCTTGACTTTTCAATGCAGGGTACGTCTGATCTTACATCACGCAAGAGGGGCAGTGAGAGATGCCAGCGGATGGGAATTCACTGATTAATCACCGAATTCACCACACACCCCTTCGTCGTCCACATAAATCACATCTATTACTTAGTAAGAGGCATTTAACACAACAGGAAAATACCACCGCGAAGGGAGAGCGCCACAAATCACGATTATTTCAGCCTCCTTGAAGGGAAAGTAACTCGAAGCTGGTTCTGTAGGAATTGAGTCTTTGGAGAAGGGGGAGGTTGTGCATTGAGCTGAGCCGGCCAGGCGCCTAGAACGCTCCTCAGTTCACAGCCAGCTGGGAACCCTCAGCCGAGCACCGGGCTGCTTCTGCGGGCAAAGCGGGCTGATCCCTTCGCTCCTCGGAAGCTTCCTTCCCGGGAAGGAAGGACAAACCAAGGAACGGAGCTTCTCTTAGGGAAATGGTTTCCTCCGCTCTACACAGAATCCCAGTGCTTCCTGAATGGCACTTTTAACTTTTATGCTGAGCAGCACCTGGGGACAAAGAGGCACAATTTCGTGACTCAGCAGAAACAAAAAGCAAAACAGCCCCAAAAGTCATTAACCGTTGCGTAAGAAGGGAAGGTTAATGGAAAAGGCTATTGAGGTCCCCAGGCAGGAAACAACAAAGCAAGGAATTGGCAGCGTTTTGCTGTGGGGTTCTGTCTTTAAAACGGTACTTCGAGTCGTTTTAAATAGGCTTTGAGTGTTTTGTTGTTTTGGTTTTGTGTTTTGTTTTGTTTTCTTTTTCCATATGCTACAGTGGTGGTGTAAGAACTTTCCAGAGCCCGCGGAGGCATCAACGTGAACCATTGGAATAATAATATTAGTAAAGTTGTTTTTATGACCACTTAAGTTTTCAACATGATCATCCTAGTTCCTAAAATTTTAGTTTGCCATTCCAAGGTGGCTACGGAATTAAAATTCAGAAATCTTAATAGTTGAAGGTTTACTGTCTTCCTCGTAAGATGAGGAGTTTCTCATTTAAGAACAAGAGTTGAAAAGGTTTCGTATTTAATATTTTGAACCCGGAGTCGAGAGGAGGGGAAAACTATGAGAAGGGAACAGATCCAAGGAAGACAACGAATGAAAAGTGAAGGAAGATACTTTAAAGACTTTATTTACTTTGCTGTTCGAGATTTATAGGTGAATGCCAGCATTAAGATCTAGGTATTTATAAGAGTAAAATTATCCAGAACCATCTCTGAATGCTCCTTTGAAGCCATTACAACTAGACTGTATCAAAGAACACACAGGTGATTCTGCAGAACATTGCCAATAATCTGTGAATTTCACCTATTTATACTTTGATTATAAGTGTATTTTATGTCACTTTTTCATATTTTAAATTATGAATTTTACTTTCCCTTGAAAATGCAGCCATTTAGTGTTTAAAATAGGACTCCTTCTACATTCAAAAGTGTTTTTTTCTTGTAAAGTTGTTACATGTCTAATTTCTCCTAGACGTTTTTATTATTTCATAATGAAGTGCACAAATAGAATAGAGATTTTTTTAACATATTTTATTTCATACTGAAAATTCACAAACATTGAAATGAGTGGCAGAGTATAAAGACTCTCTCTCTCTCTCTCTCTCTCTCTGTGTGTGTGTGCGTGTGTGTGTGACAGAGAGAGAGCGAGAGAGAGAGAGAGAGAGAGAGAGAGAGAGAGAGATTTGAATGATGTGCCATGTAATAAATGTTTCTTTCTCTAGGGTCCACAGACCTGTGTATTGTATGACATACTTAATCATTGGAATAATGTAGTAGGTGTCTTTCTTACATGATCTCATTCAGTCAACTAGAAGGTCAGCTATTAGGAGATCTGAATTCATTTAACTCTTGGCAAGAAAACGAGGAGTGCTCACAAACCATGCTAAGGACCTCAAAATTCTTCCTCTTCTGAAAGATTACCACCAATTGCCCTCCCCTTCAAAAACTGCCAGGTAAAGGAAAGCAGCCTGGAACAGTATGACCCACAAAAGACTCTTACCACATACTAAAGTGCCCCAATACTATGATTAAAATCACTGACTCATCCACTTCTGCAGTATGTGCAGCAGCCCTAGCTAGATTTCATGGTCAGCTTAGAAAAGGGAAAAGCTAGGAAAGATCACTAAAGTAGTAAATGCTCAGAATATTTTGTATTCTGAATATACTATATTCCAAATATGTAGAACTTCCTAATAGCCTGTTAAATGAATTAAACAGAGTAAAAACCATATGCTCTCTTTCAGATCATCTGGTTGACATTTTTTACTCATCGAATGGGTAAAAAAAAAAAAAAAAAAGAAATCAAGAATGCATTGTCTGCACATTGTGACCAGAATAATAAAGCAAAATAGAATTCTTTAGTAATCATCAATTAAGTCAGTAATCATGAATGACATAGGACTCAAAACAGTTACTATAAAATAGTGATAGTAAATATGGAAGATTGTTACTAAAGTATAGGCTGGAGCATCAATAAAAGGTAATGCGTTATGCTTAATTTCCACTTAATGATTCTCTATAAAATAAAATTTGAAGCTTTAGGCCAGGCACAGTGGCTCACCCTTGTAATCCCAGCACTTTGGGAGGTGGAGGCAGGTGGATCACGAGGTCAGGAGATTGAGATCACCCTGGCTAACACAGTGAAACCCTGTTTCTACTAAAAATACAAAAAATTAGTATGACATGTGCCTGTAGTCCCAGCTACTCAGGAGGTGGAGGCAGGAGAATCACTTGAACCCAGGAGGCAGAGGTTGCAGTGAGTTGAGATCAGGTCACTGAACTCCAGCCTGGCAATACAGGGATACTGTGTCTTAAAAAGAAAAAAAGAAAGTAATGAAGTTTTATTTTAAGACCACAATTAATAAAGATCTAAATGGTATAAAAACTCTCTCAAAAATATGGTGAAAGTATAGATGTTTAGGTATGTACCAGTGCTTAAGTGGGCACAATATAGGAATTTAATTGCTTGTCAAATGAGGACACTGATTCATGCTAGGAAGCCATAATATATAATAAACAGATTAAATATTAAGCAAAAGAGATATATTTACCTTAAAACTGAAATAAAGACAGTGTCAAAATGAAATGGTATAAAATTATCCATCCCACATCAAATCTCTTATATAAAGTGGTTCTTATTCCAGATATTCTTTGAAAATGACCAGTTTATAAAAGGAGACTGTTTTCTATGGGCATCAGTGAGGTTGTTTTCTATGGGCATCAGACAAAAGTGTAGACAAAATTTGAGCTTTAAAATTGAAGAGTTTGATCCCTGGCTTAAACGACCATCGAATTTTAATGGATTGTAAATAAATGAAAAAATTAGTATAATTTTCTAGAAAATATTTTTATTTCCCCATAATATATGCTTTAATGAAAAAAGAAATTAATGAAGTGCTCTATTAGTGAAGAGAGAAAAGCTTGAGTTAGTGTTGGAATTTTGTTTATTACTATGGTCCATTATAATTTCTTCATTCTAATCAGAGTTATTAACACTGACAAGTTAAATAAATTAATTCATCAAACTATATAATGTTATGAAATCACTCATTAAGATAAATTAAACGAAGTAGAACCAATCATTCTTTCTTTTTGTTCTAAAACAACACACGAATGCTAATTATCAGTCAATGGTAATCTTATATTTTCCAGTTAGAGTCACAGTTTGCATACATGTGATCAAACATCAGATCTCATTTCTACTAACAATTATTTTTGTGTGGTTGGATTTCTTACAGTGAATGGTAACAATTATGTGCTACACACCTGAACGTCGTTAAGTTAGGAATAGGACGTGCCTCTTAACAAACTGGAGCTGACAGTCTGTCTTATGGAAGAGATGTGTGTAAAGGAGAGTTGGCCTGAAAGTTAGGTTGCTAGGGATTTCTGCAGCTATCATTGCAAGGGCTGCTAAGTTTCTTACCCTGCCTTTTTTCCAGACAGAAAAGTTGCCAGGCAGCAGCAGACACAAGATGAAAAAGAAAGGGAATAGATTGGGAGAGACAGGGGGCAGAGGTAGAGAGAGAGAGAGAGGGAGAAAGGGATTATCAAGGAAATATTATCAGTTCTTTAAAATTGAAACATTTACTCTGGAAAAAGCCTCTAAGGAAAAAAAAAATGAGATGCAAGTTATTTCTCAAACTGCAACATTTCAACACACATTTTTACTGCTTTTCTTCAAAAGTATGTTCTATTTTTTAGCATACTGTCTCAATTAGGATATAAGGATTTGGTTGAGATAAATAAGATATTGGTGTAACTTTAATTCACACCATTGAGCAATTATTAGGATGTATGCACAACTGAAAAGAAAATTAAGATTGATGCAATTATCTAATTAAATCTAGAAAGTAAAAAATATTTTTAGGACAATTACATTGGTCTTCTCTCTACATTTTAAGCTTCTCTTTACTGTCACTATCTGTAAGTGTTTTAAAGACATAAATATTATGGTGAAAAGCATGACTGATAACAATTATAACTTTCAGAAGACAAATAATATAAGCTTTTATTACTGATTTGATTGTTTGGATTTTTTCTGACTCTTGTTTGATAAACTTTTGACAGCAAAAATAAAAGGAGCCTACTGATTTAGACAAAGCCAGGGGTGACTTGAAAGACTAAAAATTATATCTTTTTTTCATTTTTAAGGGATTGACATCCATAATAGCAATGTAGTCTGAAGATAAGAATCCTATTTTGCTTTTTGGATATGTCATCAGAAGATATAACTGGTAATACTGCCCTCTCATGTGGGTAACACAAAAATGTCAACAATTCACCAAATCCTTGTCACTCTTCTCACATGGAATTAGCCCTTGGGTTTTAAGTTGGTTGCTGATTATAAAGCATGTTGTTTTGGTGTTTTTAGACCAAGACATATGTGTGGTTAAAATGAGCTCCACATTGCCTTCTCCAGATGCAGAATGGACTTAGTGTATCAGGTGGAGGGTTGATTGATTGCCTGTGGCCATGGATAGGATGCACTTTGTCTGAATGTGTCTTTGCGGCATTTTTCTACCTACTAATAATATATTGATCTCTGACCTTCTTTCTGGTCATCATCTTGCTGCTCCTTCCCTATAATTAAAAACTTTCAGATTGTTGGAGCTGAAAGAAACATTCAAATAATCTACTGCAATTTACCATATTTTGCAAATAAAAAATTTTTAAGAAAGAAAAGGTGACTAGTCTGAGGTCACACATTGGATTAATATCAGAAATAAATCTTGAATAAAGTTTCTTGACTATTTCCTGTTTTATATAGTCAGCTTTGTCATTGTTTTTTTTTCTTCCTTCCTAGGAGTGGTAGCTCAGAGAATATACATTTATTAATTTACTAAATATCTATATATTATGTGACAGACACTATATTTAGTACCATGCATATAGCAACAAGGATAATAAACATAACTGTTGCAGGAACATAGCATATAATCTAAATTAAATATTAATACCAATTTTTTATGGAGTTTCACTCTTGTTACCCAGACTGGAGTGCAATGGCACGATCTCGGCTCACTGCAACCTCTGCCTCCTGGGTTCAAGCAATTCTCCTCCCTCAGCCTCCCTAGTAGCAGGGACTACAGGCACTAACCACCATGCCCAGC